TATATATATATATATATATATATCAAGTCGGCGACCTCACAAGGGACAGGTGAGCGAAAATCGGGAATTGATTCGGTGTTCAGTGTAGCAATATATCTCTATATTGCAAATATGTATCTATATCTTTATATATATATATATATGTAGATATCAGGTCGGCGACCTCACAAGGGACAAGTGAGTGAAAATCGGGAATTGATTCGGTGTTCAGTGTAGCAACTAGGTATTGATTCGGGGTTCGCCATGCGCAGCGACGACTGCAACTTGCGAAGGGGATCGAGCAGCTTTATACGAACGTTATCATGGCTATGGCGAAAGGTAATCGAGCTGCGGAACGCGGATCGGCTATGGCGGACGGGGTTATATCCTGAAGGTACAGACAGGGCATCTGGAAATGTGTTCGGACGTCGGACACAAAATAGGACAACTCAGGTTATATGATTTTACCTTCGTCGTGCGTTGAGCAAGCAACCAATCACCGAACCAGCTATGGTGGAGGGATATCGAGCTAGGAAGAGCGAGAACCGAGGAGCGAAGAGCGAACCGAACACAATGTGGCAACTGCGGATGGAGTGAAGAGCGAAGAGTGAGCGGGCTATGGCGGAAGGTGGTGGGGGCAGAATACCAAATATCAGAACGTGCGAGGAAGCGATAGCGCGACTTGATCTGTGGAGCGCCAACAAAAGGGATAACTCGAGGGCTGCAACGCCTTTTATACTTTGTTGCAGCAGGCCTCGCGTCGGGATCAAGGTGGGGCTGAATCCATTCGCATATTGCACCCCTGGGCCCATAAAACGCCATCAAGGTGGGGCCGAATCGATTCGCGTATCGCACCCCTGGGCCCATAAAATGCCAAGGCCTATAAACGGTAAGGGGTACCGGAAATTGTCAGTCGTCGATCAACAATTTTCAACCACGCAGATGAACGGAGCCACTATTATGCCAGTGGCCCCAAAATCTTCGTCTACTCCAGCGTGCAATGATGTGATAGTTCCCGAAAACAAGGGGCAGGCAATGTTATTTTCGCAGTTATAATCTGGACCGTCGATCGACATGATCCGACGCACGAGGTAAGGCGCAAGAATCTATAAGGTGCGGCGATTCGTTGTGCACTGAGGCGGTTCGTTGGGCGCCGAGGCCAGGCGACGGTTTATTTCCCGCCGAGGCGCGGCGATTCGTTGTGCGTCGAGGTCAAAAACACTGGAAATCTATAAGTTTCGGTGTCGCTGTCATTCGGACATTTTGCGAATGTGAACGGATCGATGCGCTTAGCCATGCACCATCATTATCGATGCGCTTAGCTCATCGCCATCAGCAACGCTCGCCATGCACCATCGCCATCGATGCGCTTACCTCATCGCCATCGAGACGCAAAGCTATATCCCCCATCGCAGCCGTCGCGCTCGCCTGACCATCGCAGCGCTGACAATCGCCATCGCTCTCATCACATCGCTGGCCATCGCTGCGCCATCGCAACACTGGTACCATAGATGTCATGGCAACATTGGTTCCATCGTTGCGCCATCTCTCAATCGGTGCGCCATCGCTATCGCTGCCATCGCTATCGCTGCCATCGCTATCGCTATCGCCACCGCTGCCTTCGCTATCGCTGTTCCATCGCTGTCGTTGTCCCATCGCTGCGTCATCCCTATCGTTGTTCCATCGTTGCGCCATCGCTCTCCACCGCTGCGCCATCGCTCTCCACCGGTGCGCAATCGCTATCGCTGTTCCATCACGGCCATCTCTATCACTATCGCTGCATTGTAACATGTTCCATCGCCGCGCCATCGCTCTCCACCGCAGCGCTGGTCATCGCTATCGAAGCCCTGGCCAGTGTTATCCCACCGCAGCGCTGCGCGATTTCTCTCTCCATCGCCTCACGATCTCCCTCCATCGCTGAGTGATCACTCTCCATCTCACTCCATCACTGCGCGATCTCTCTCGACAACTGGGCAACCTCCATCCTTGCCCCAGAGGCTCTTCATTACTCGTGCGCGATCCCGCCATCGCCATTGTATTGTTGTTTCAGGTCGTCGTCGGTGCAGCCGCCCATCATTGTGGAATCGCACGAAACAGGTGAAAGGTATGCTTAACGAAGGTTTAACTCGATGGAACTGATGTTGTGCATTCACAAAACTTGGTCATCGCTGTGCCTTCTCTCTCCATAGTTGCGGCATCGCTAACCATTGTTGCGCGTCCTCTCTCCATCTCTCTCCACCAATGCGCGATCTCTACCGACCTTTCGTCATCTATCCCCATCGTTGCGGTATCTTTCCCAATCTATTTCCTTCGTCATCCATCTCCTTCGGTGCGCTATCTTTCCTAATCTATCTCCTTCGTCATCTATCTCCATCGTTGCGCTATCTTTCCTAATCTATCTCCATCGTCATCTATCTGCTTCGTTGCGCCATCTTTCTCCATTGTTGTGCTATCGCTAACCATCGTTGAGCCTGCTATCTCCATTGTTGCGCCATGTTTCTCCATCGGTGCGCAATCTCTCTCTCTCACTGCGGCACACCTCCCAATCAGTTCGTGATCTCTTTCCCTTCCTGCGCCATCCACCTTCTTCCCCAGAATATACAACGCACTTTCATTACAGTTGTCTTTAGACTGAAAGATGACCCGAATTCAGCTGTAATGACCAGACGTTGTATTCGGGGGAAGACTGTGACTCCATCCATCTCTCTTGGTGCACCATCTCTCTCACTCGGTGCGCCACCTCTCTCCATGTATTTGCATCGACGCGCCTGCCCATCGCTTTGCAATTTTTCTCCATCTTAAAAAATAGCACGCCATCTTTCCCTATTTCTTTCTTGCGACGATCTGTGGCTCGTACTACACGCAGAACAAGCCGGAAACAACTTGGACTTGTACCCGCAGTTTCGAAATGAAAATGCTCGTTTACAAGTGCGAATTCATTCGCTTTTGAACCAACCAACCCCTCAATTTGTCCCTGTTTAGTCCATAGGTCAGAATTAACTCGCACTTGTACCCCCAGTTTCGTAATGAAAATGCCCGTTTGCAAGTGCGAATTTCTTCGCTCTTCAATCAACCATCCCCCTAAATTTCTTACTCTATAGTCCAAAAGTCTCAGTTTCATAGTGGAAATGCTCGTCTGCAAGTGCGAATTTATTCGCTCTTCAACCAACCATCCCCCAAATTTTTGACTCTTTAGTCCACAAGCCCCAGTTTCATAATGGAAATGCTCGTTTGCAAGTGCGAATTTATTCGCTCTTTTGTTCCTCTTTAGTCGATAATTCGCGTATCTTCTCGGCCAAAAAGAATGAAGTCGTTTTGTATTTGCGAGTTAACTCGCCACTGAACCAACCACGAAGGCAATTTCTTATTGCACGGCGTAATCGAAATGTTCCTCTGAAGTGTGGATTTTTTAACACTTGAAATTTCTCGCTGTTTAGTGGAAAATACTGAATCGACTCGCACTTGTGTTCGATCTTGTTCCGACCATGAACTTAATTTCTTACTGTACGTTGAATAAGTCCGAATCAGCTCGCATTTGTCCTCTCGCCTGAAAAAGTGCGAGTTTACTCAGACATATCCAAACCACTTGCACACTGAAGGAGTGGGTGAGGAGTCGGACTTGAGATACCACTTGAGCCTCACATCAGGGTCCGACAAAACGATATGGATTCAAATGTTGTTGTTCCACTGTTTTGTGATAAATATTTGAAATGTGAGTTTGCTCCCTCTTGTTTATTTCCCTGACCTCGTCATACGTTGACGTGATTTTCTTGTTGTACAGTTTCCTTGTGAATCGTCTTCAAATGGCTGTCCAATCCGTCTACTGTGTCACGCCACCGCCACCGTCACGACAACACGGAGAAGACGATGTTCGAGAACGTAGTTCTTGTGACAGCAGCCCGAAAGCTCCCTCTGATCGGCATTGGGGTTTGAAAAGGGAGTTCTCGATGTTGACCCCGACGAATCATTCAGGCTCGTCTACGACGTCCGCCCGACGTCGTTTTATTCGCTTTACCGACGTTCCCGACGGTCAGCGCGTATCTACAGCGCTAATCCCCGGTAGTGAGGGTGTTCGGGATGTCGAGACGTTTTCCGGTGGGTGGATGTTCATGGACACAGATTTCTGTGGTGTAGACTGTCAGATCTCGTGCGAACAGCGGGTAGACTGTCAGAAAGCGTGAAGTTACCCTAACTACAGTCGGTCGTTGGTGGACACAGACTTCTGCGGTACGCCCGACTGAAACGGATCTGATCGGGAACAGTGCGGTGCATTTGGTAGAAACGGGTATGATAGGGACCAGGCAACGGTATGTGTGTGTGGAAGTGCGAAGATAGGTAAGAGAATTGCATGTGAAGCCGGAATAGTTGGCTCTCCGTCGATGACAGCGACGGGTGCAACGAAAAATTGGCAGACTGGTTTTGTAGACAGATTTTTACAGTTCATTTGAATCCTCCCAATCTGATTTGCCGAGAACTGCTCTCACGGACAGATCGAAATTCCTAGGTGCAGCGCATAGGTCCCCGACCAAAAGCCAACCTGGAACTCCCGAAGCAGTCCTTCAAGTTTTGTCTCATTCCCTACCTGGAGAAAGGAGAAGATATAATCAGAAAAATAGGCCGGTTAGAAGGTCAAAACATTCGAAGAGGGCCAAATGTCGATTGAATGAAACTAACATTGCGCTCGTCCCGACGTACAAATATTGTAAGAACAAGTGTCTTCGGGTCTTGATCATTGACGATATCAAACCAGTGTGCAAAGCCTATTACGAAATGTCCCTCGAAAGGAGGATCGAGTGGTGGATGCAAACACTCGACAATTTCACTATCCTCGACGGCGGTCAGGAAAGAGTCCAACCAGTGCAGTGCAAACGCCGTGTGTGCATCGGCGGTTGGTGCAAAATAATAGGGATATGTTGAAACACATTTCGTCGATATAGCAAGTGCAAGTCGGACGGGGTCGTCCGTGGCCATCATGGTCAATGAGGATTGTTGAACCCGAGACCGGAGTATGTGAGCATGCTGGCTCGTGTGACAAGGTTCGTGGAAGAACATGGAGATGCTATGCCTAACGAAATGGTTGTGAGGGGGACCTCACAACGACCCAAAGTTAGGCTCCCTGCTTTTTTCACGAAGCTCCTTGTATACGAGTCTGTCAAGGCGGACTTGGAAGCGGGGGGTCAGACCGTCGTTTCGGAGCAAGTCTTCTACTCCATATGGAGGAAGTACTTGTGGTATGCCGACCTTGCCAAGTCCAACTCGTTCACAAAGTGTGGCGAGTGCGTCCGCTTTAGACAGGCCAGAGACAACGCCTTCCTCCTTCGTGACCGTAGGGATTTTGATGAAAAGCACCTTAAACACCAACTACATCAGGTCGCTCACCTTGCGGATTACGCTGACTGGAAACTTCGTTCCATTTTGAACCCCGCGGAATACCTCTGCCTTATGGTGGATGGAATGGATCAGAATAAGACAATCATTCCTCACATCGGCATGTATAGTTACTCCAAGGATCATCGACACGACATGATGATGAAAACGAACCTGACCGAGGTCGTAGCTCACGGCAGGAAACCGTCCATTTATGTGTACACGTATTTGCCTTTCTATGCGCACGGTTCCGATGGCACCATGACGTGCGTTATGCGGACTCTATGTGAGTTACAGGCGTCGGGAAAGAAATGGTCACGCCACCCCCGCATCCAGGCGAACAATTGCTGGAGGGAAAACAAAAACCAATACCTTATGTGTTTGACCTCTCTTCTGGTGAAATTCGGGATTTTCGAAGATGTCAAAGTGGGGTCCATGCTCATTGGCCACACGCATACCGACATAGACGCGACTTTTGGTGTTTTCTCGAAAAAACTGAAGGACAACGACGCTTACACCATGAAGCAGTTGTTCTCGCTTATCGAGTCGTCGCACAAGATACCGCCGAAGTGCATTGAGCTCGATCACATTGCCGATTGGCGCGGGGTAGTGGATCGATACGTCGATAGAACCATCGTCGGAGTATCGAAACCGCATCTCTTCAAATTCTTCATGCGTGACGGCAGTTCCGTCATGGTGTACAAAAAGTACTGTACCGATGCAGAATGGATGCCGGAAGGCAGACCAGTTCACTGGTTCCCAGTTGTCAATGGCCAGTATGCAGGCCCTACCTCCCCTCCACAGCCATGTGTTATTCCCCATGTCGTTAAAGACGATTTTCGGATGGCTCGTGACAGTGTCCAAAAATTTGTGGACGTCCTCGAACAGCATAGACACATGTGGCAGACATATAGGTAGGAGGAGGTCGATAAGCGGGAGGATGCTTTGTCTTACTGGAAAGCCATCTTCGTTGAGGCGGACGACATGATCCAAAAGCAAAAGAAGAAGGAGACAGAAGAGGGTGAGGAAGAGGATGTCCTCGGGGCGGACGAGCCGGAGATCTACCCTCACACCTTCTGGCCAAAATCAGTCGAAACTATGGAGGAAGTTCAAGAAGTCGACCCTCCTTCGCCAGATGCTTCGCTTATATATGTAGGACCGAGGCGGACCGTCCAAAAGTGGACTTCGACCCTTGGCGCCATATAAACCAAGGTGATTTTCTGATTGTTAGGCCGCCTGACGAGGAACTGTCTCAAGGTGTCCCGTTCTGGGTTAGCAGAGCACAGTCTGAGGTTGTGGACCGTTCCTCGCCGCATTTCGGTTGTTTACGTATACAGTGGTGGGTGCCTACAAGTCACTCGTCCGATCTTCGCGAAAGGTACTCCGGGGCTTGGACGAAGAGGTGGAAACTTTCCACTTTGGACGAGGAACAATGGCAACACACCGAAACCGTGACTTATTCTTGG